ATTAGTCTTTCCAAAGTCAGAGATTTCTAGCCTSATAGCAACAGGCTCAGGACAATATTTTAAGTTTTAGCAACTTCACTCTCCCAAGCCCTTATTTAGACTTACTTTGCCATTAAAACACCAGCCTTGTCTTGATTTACTTTCAAGTGAACTGTTTGAGAGTGTGCAACTGCCAGAGAAAAATGTTACTGTCCTAAGAACAGCTCCACTGTATCRTTTCCAGTTTCTTTCTGTAATGTTACATGGTTATCAGCCAACTTCATGATAAAACAAAACAAAACACTATATTTCAGGCCAAGATGCAAGTGGCTGCAAAGTATGTGCTATGCAGAAGTAGATTCAAGCAAGAACAATTCATGGGCACTTTTTTATTTCAGTAAAACTAAAGTTTACAGATTCTTAACCAAGCATTCAGACAGACACCCATAAAAGGTTGTATTAATAAAAACAGTCAGGCTTCCAGGCCTCTATAATATTTCAGGCATAAGAGACAATACAGGATATCGGATGTTTACACTACAGTCTTGCTGCATTACACACTATCATATAAAGTGAATAAACACATCCAGTAACTTCAAGTGTACTATTAAAAAGACACTAGTAAGTGCTCCATTTTTTTTTGTACCAAACAATTTTATTTCAAATTCACATCTTTCTAGGTAACTTATCCAAAATATCTGACTCCATAGTACCTTCAGACTGTAAGTATTCTTAAACAGGGCATCGAGTTTCTCCTGTCCCCAAACAAGTTTTAGGTTTTAGCTCATGTTATAAAAAAGTAATTGTGTGGAATGTGACGAGTCAAAATGTGAAAACAAAGTGCTTTAGTACCACAGTGGAAAGAGACATTAATGGTTACCTAGCTAATTGTCAACAGATCACAAATAGCAGTCGAAGTGTTTATGTTTTGGACTTGGCATCACCACACCGCACCTTGCAAAGACCTTTGAATGGTCATGGCAAAGTCTCGTTGATAGTTAAAGATGAGATGGTATTTGAATGGAGCAAGATTTTCACTTGGGTAGGTCATATAATGAGTTATAGTAATGCACCTTTTTAGTAGTTTTCAAATTCTCATAGTAAGTACCAAGTCCTACTGTATTATGTAAGACAAAACTGTGCTCTGGTTAGTCTTTCCAAACCTAAAGTGTGCTATATTCCAACAACCCAAAGCATCCAATGTCACATCATTTCCCCACGCCCCAGCAGCTAGATAAGACTGAGTATTTTTGTGCAATTCTTTGCTATTTGCATGTGAAGAGATCAACACGTGACACTTAGTATGAAAAGCGATGAAGTCCCAAAGCAGAAAGTTACTTTAACAGAGTCTGGCAGTAGTTGCGTGGAGCATCTGCTCAWCCAAGAAGCACCTCACTGAAGAGGGCTCAAGCTGCAAATGTCTTTATAGAACCGTAAAAAGCTACTTATTTTCTGCAGTGAACAGCATTTAAGACATTTAATTCTCTCCTCTGTCACCARAGAATTATCTCTGCCATGCCACGTGTGCTATTTTCCCCCTTTCAGACACCCAGGAGTAGTACCAGTTTACAGCTTACACAGGAAGGGCTGGGGGAAGAGCTCTGGTCCTGCCCCACTGACATAAAGACAAAGTGCTTTGCAAGATCCACTGTATCCGACCCATTTGTAGCAACCAATCTAAAATGAAGGCACACAAAATTTAGATTGTAGCTTATAAATTATAAACTAAAGCTGAACCTCTGCATAATTTCTAATCTGTTGCACGAAAGCAACGACCAGCACCTATGCAGAAATTCTGGTGTTTTTTTCTTATACTTTCTCCAGAAATAGGTAAGTGTTGCCTGCATGCCTGTCTGAATACTGTTGCTTCTTAGAATTTGGTACAAAGTGCAGAAACTGCAAATTTACCTGCGTGGGAAATCTGAAACCAGTGAATCCCTTCCTCTGGCACTGAAAGAAACGTAAGTCAGTGGCAACAGCTACCGACAGTTGTCACGTTGCAAGCACCCAACTCCAGAGGGGGTTTCCCTGTGAAGCATCCTAGAGCTTGTGGCATAAATGCAACCAGAGTGTCAAACGGTGACTTTTACCTATCAAAGCCCACCTGCTTTTGGTTGGTTACCTGACAGACACCCACACACACTCGGAGGAGGCACAACTCGAAACACACTTTGACCAAAACACTGACACTGGGATGGGCMGCACTTGGACATCTACACACGTCTGTCTTGAGCAGAGCTCGGGATACAGGCTCAGCTCGGTGCCTCCTTCCCAAGGAGAGGAGAGCTTGGATACCCATCTGCCTCCTTGGTGCCACTGGAAWTGCGACCTTCGAAGCACAGAGGTGACATTCGAGTGGTGGGAAAGCGTCAGTGGGCAGATAGGGTCGTCCATCAGTTTAGGACTTACTAGGCTGTTAACCAGCAGTTCAAAGTCCTGCTGGTTTGCTCCTCTAGAAATACCGGTTTAAAGGAGCTCAAACACCGCTGCCGTCACTAACCAGGACGTATCTGGCGCTGCTTCAGCTCAGTAAGCTGCACAAACAGGGGAAGAGGTTAGAGGTGCAGCTGTGCTCCTTGGGCCTCCTGCTCCTCCGGTGCTTTTGGTTTTTCTGCACAAAAATATGGAAACACGAGTCGCCAGTGAACACGCACCTGCACTGCCGCATTACAGGAGCATGGCAGAGCTTCACCAGGTTTCATGCAATGGGTTTCTGTGCTCGTCTCTAGGACAGAATGACTTTCACACGTAACACACACACAACGCAGCCTCCTGGGTTTAAATGCAGTGAGTTGCACAAACAACATTGACAAGAACTGACCAGACTTCAGGAAATCAAACTGTGCTAGGTCTGGCACTTGAGAATTCACAGTGATTAAAATAAAATTGCTTTGCCTACCACAAAACATAAGATACCAAATATATATATAAAATGACTCTTTGCTTACATTACCGTGTATTAGTATTCCAACAGAGATAAGCAAGTTCAGTAGTACCTCAGACAGCAGAGACTTCTGCATGTTTAACTCTATTCATTGCAGTGCATTTTTTTTAAATGTAGGTTATGTCCAATTGGGCAATTTTCAATGTATAAAGTCAATACAGGTTCAAGTCTCCGCTGGACTCTGGAACTCGGATTCCTACAGGAAACCATTTATCTGCAGTCTCCTTTTGGGTACCCAGCCCCACACCATGCCAAGTGGTATTGCTGTTAGAAAGAGACTTTAAAAGGACTCATGTGCACTGCTGCGCTGTTCTTAAACAGGGGTTCCCAGGAAGTTTATAGTACCAGCTGAAAACATGAGAGTAGTGAAAAACTGGCATTTTTCCCTCCTCCACTCGCTCCTGGCAGCTGCAGCAGCGGAGCTCAGTGCTGCCCAAGGCAGGGAGCCGGCAGTGGAGCCCGCGGACGCTGCTCGGAGCGCCCACTGCCCTTGCTCCAGCACAGGGGCACGGTGGGATGCTCGGGAGCTGCTGCAGCCCCGCTGAGCTGCCCACGGCCACGGTGGGACCCTCGGGAGCCGCTGCAGCCCCACTGAGCCGCCTGCGGCTGTGGCGGGATCCTTGGGAGCCGCCACAGCCCCACTGAGCTACCCACGGTCACGGTGGGACCCTCGGGAGCCGCTGCAGCCCCACTGAGCCGCCTGCGGCTGTGGCGGGACCCTCGGGAGCCGCTGCAGCCCCACTGAGCCGCCTGCGGCCGTGGCGGGACCCTCGGGAGCCGCGCGCCCGAGCCCCGCTGCCGCCTGCCCCAGCACCCCGACCTCCTGCTCCGCCGCCTCAGCCGAACACGTTGGACTTGGGCCTGAGCTTGAAGGAGGCTTTGAGGGGCTTCTCCTCCTGCTCGTCGTCCTCRGTGTCGCCACGGAAGGAGGGCGTGTTGTGGATGATCTGGGTCCTGAAGCGGATCTTGTTAAGCCGRGGCTTCATCCGCCCGCTGCCCGAGGCTTTCCTGGTCATCTCCTTGCCCTTGCCSGGCACCGCAGTCCCCTCGGCGCCCTCGGCCTCCTCCCCCGTGCYGTGGTGGTGGTGGTGGTGATGGGAGAGCCGGTAGCTCATGAGGTTGGAGGGCAGCACCTTGGAGAGCCTCCACCGCCCGCTCCCGTTGCCGGCGGCCCCTTCCTCCTCCTCGTCCTCCTCGTCCTCGTCCAGGGCGCCCACGAGGCTGCGCATGTCGCCCGGCGTGCCCTGCCGCAGGTACTGGGCCGCCTTGCGCCCGCTGTAGTCGCGGATGTCCACGTCGGCGTCGTAGGCGCCCACGAGCAGCTTCACCACCTCGGTGCGCCCGTGCATGGCGGCCAGGTGCAGCGCGGTGTAGCCGCCGCTCGTGCGCGCGTTGATGTCCACGGGCAGCCGGTGCCGCTGCGCGAAGTTCACCAGCATGGCGAGCAGCTCCTGGCGCCCGTGCTTGGCGGCCCAGTGCAGCACCGTGAAGCCCGTGACGAAGTCGCGCTTGCAGAGCAGCGCCGGCTCGCAGCTCAGCAGCCCCTCCAGGCTCTCCCAGCGCCCGTCGGACGCCGAGAGCATCCAGGCGTGCTCCAGCGGGTCCAGCGCCACGGCGCCCGCCGCCTCCTCCTCGGCCGACGACGAGGCCACCGAG